CTAGAGGCGGTTTAGCCAATCACAACACACTGGGCTAGCTAACCAATCAGAGCCCATCGCCTATTTCTGAGGGAGGGGCTTCATAAAAGGAGGAAATGATCAGCGTAGAAGGGACAGAAGGGACAGAGTGGTGTGGAATAAAGGTAAATTATGTGAAAAATAATGCGTTTTTTAAAAATGACACGTTATAGTTAACATTAGTTAATTCATTAGTTAACAAACTGCCAATGAAAATTTCTTCTGAACATTCATTAATCTTAGGAATTCCAGTATTTAATAACAGGATGTTAAAATCGAGAGTTGCAGCTGTGTTATTTAATGAGCTAACATGAACTAAGGGTGGTATTTTTTTTTAACAAAGATTAATAACTTCTGTAGCAAATGTAGCTATTGCTCATTGTGAATGTTAATGCATTAACTAAGGTTAACTAATGAGGTCTTATTGTAAAGTGACACCTATTGGGCTTTATAATTCTTTTGCACTTTAATCGGTGTAAAATTTGTAACTTTATAAATTTTTTATGTATTGCTTTATTGTATTTAAATGTTCAGTTATTTTTGTTATAAGAAAAAAGTTATTAAACCTGTTACACTGTATTATGACAACAATTTTTTGCAACTAAATATCAATATCGTGATAATACCGTATTCCGTGATAAAAGCAATATCAATTAATCGCAACATGAAAATTTGATACCAGCATATCCCTAGTAAGGTAGATGCTAAATTTACATACAATGTAGGATTAAGGGATCTAGAATATGGCCATGCAGAATAAGGCATTAATATGTGCTTTATAAGTACTAATAAACAGCCAATATGCTAGTAATATGATTGCAATTAAGCAACTATTTAATAGTGAGAATTGGTCCTTAAAATAAAGTGTTACCATACTTATAATTAGCATTCATCTGAGTGATAACATGCATGCTAAATATTCGTAGCAATGATGTAAGAACACACTCAAACTGAAACTGAAATAATATATTACTGTAATTTAAAACAAACAATTCCTATTTAAATATAGGCCTATTTTTAAATTTTTTAATATATTTATTCCTGTGATGGTAGCGCTGAATTTCTATCAGTTCAGTGTCATATGATCATTAGAAATCACTATATTATGCTGATTTGTTGCTCAAGTAACATTTCTTATTATCAATGTTGAAAATTGTGGTGCTTAATAGAGCCCTGCACGGGCCTCAAATTTAGGCCCTAGCCCGGCCCTGAGACGCTCAGGCCCTAGTCCGGCCCTTGTCCGACAGCTTATCAGAATTACCGGCCCGAGCCCGTCTTTTTTTCCCCCTTCTCCCAAAATGGCTTATACTACTGTTTCAGTACATAACTACAATCTAGTTATACTAAAACAGTTCAAGCATATAACAATGTTTAAACGTTATACCTGCACTATAATAAATGTGTGCTATTTCCAAGTTTGTGCGGAGAGTGGAAGCTAAAGCGCGCTTTGCAGGACATAGAGGCGCTAGTGCAATCACTTGCATTTTTTTTTTTCAGTGGAAACAACTTAAAATAGCCTACGCCGTCATTTTTGCTCATAAAGGTAAGAGTAATACATCATTCGGAACTGTAAAGAGTTGTATTTACACACTTATATACACACTTACAGTATCTCACAAAAGTGAGTGCACCCCTCACTTTTCAGCAACCATTTTAGTATATCTTCTCAAGGGACAATACTATAAAATATATCCAAGTTTCATTTCTAGAGTAGTCAATGTGCTGCTTGTATAGCAGTACAGATTTACTGTC